AGGGGGGGGGGGGGGAATTGAATTTCCATGACATACATATGACCATGACATTTGACCTTTTTCCATAAGTTAATTATTTCTTGCCTACATTATTATGTACCATTACTCTGAATTTTATGATGATCCATTCCTTAGTTTTTGAGTAATCTTGCTAACAGCCAGACAGACAGGGGTAAATACATAATACCTTCATGGCAGAGGTAATAATAATGTCACAGACAATCTTTTGTAATCAACATTATCCTGGATGAGAACTTTTTAAAAATGATTCCAAACATGTATGACTTACCTCGTTCATAAAACTTCATTCCAAAGCTGTACTCAGGAGCATTTGTTTCATTCGGTGGCTTATTAGTTGGTGAATAATGCCATGGGCCAGGCAAATCTAAGTCAATAGGTAGTGGTGGCCTACTATTTACACACTCATCCCATCCTGTAAACATAAAGTAGTTCCCTTATTCCCTGTGAAAAATTACTAAATTGTTTTTTTTTTATTATTTGTAGCGGCTCTACATATTGTACCCGTACCATAGATTAAATCCAAGCATTACACGTGTTAAGTTGCAGGGGAAGCATGCTCTACTGCATTTCATTAAATTAATTTTCATGTCAATTTAAAATCACCAATATTAGGCCAAATAAAATTAATTGTTAGTTTCATGTTTTTTTTTGGTGAGGTTGATTTTTACAATCCTATACTAGTGGCAAATAGGCTGGTAAATAATACATTGCAAACTGAATCTTTGTTGAAATATTTTGCCATTTATATTTCCACCTCTTCTTAGGCTTTGACATCAATCATTCAGATCATTTTCATTTTCAATGGAATACTACAATTTTTTCAGCAATAGTAAACTTCTCCAATATTTGATGAGGTTGGGGCCTTGAAAGTGGCAATTATTTTATTTGGCCTTATATTGCCTGATAAAGGTATGGTTTTGACATTGATTTAATGTCCAATTCTCATTAAACAACTATTAAATTGGAGGCTTGAATGTAGCTATATGTATACACAAAAAGGTTATACATACAGCTGCTGTGAAAGTAATGGTATGCATAATGCACAGCGGCTGCGAATGTTATTCCCCATCACTATGCAAAATCAGCTGTGCATATAATGGTCTAGAATTACACACCCACATTCAATGACAGTGTATGCATCAGATGGCATCAACATTCACATCAGTTGCATACATAAAAAGAGCCTGAATATGGAGTACATGTACGGTGACCGTTCACTTAGCCTAAATCGTGGGACAGGTCACACAAATTTTAAAGCCAAAAAACCCCATAATAATCCATATTACCTATTAATACACAGTAACATGAGACTAAACAACAGTTATATTGAACAAAAATAGTAGGCCTGTACTAAACATTGATCAAAAAACCAGAGATTATTCTATGTATGTGTATGATCAGATCATACAGTTTGTTGTTTCTGCCTTGACCTTAAATAAAAGAGCCTACTTTTCTTTCCAAGTCAATAGCATTTTGTCAATATTAGTGTACTCTTTCGTATTCAATTTTAATTTGATTTCAAAAAAATATTTCCAATACAAAATAGGCCAATAATCGAATTCAAAAATGTTATAAACAACTAGCGTACTAAAAAAGAAACAGGAAAATAAATGGTGATTTATAATAGTGGGATAAAAAAAGAGATAAAAAAAAACTACCAGCATCCAAATGACTTTAAAAGAAGGTTCACACCCACCTCAGCCCACAAAGGGTTTAAACAAGCCAGTGTTTCATTGAAAAAAGTATTGGTACATCCCCAATTGGTGCTATGCCTCCCACCCCTCAAAAGTGGATCCCTGCTGGTGCTGCCATGCCAGAGATGCAAACTCTAAAAGAGGACTTATGCCATGTCCCTTTTATAGTTGGCGGGGTGAAGCGCTAATTTAGGACATACAGTTCAAGGGGACAGTTTGGAAGAGAGTGTCACCTAAATGGCCAGTAACAATGGAGGACTGATTAAAAAGTGATTTCGCAATATTCGTGCCAAATAAAATAATGTTCCTGTAATACGTCAACTGTGTATGATTTTTTTATCGTATCAATGTCTATATTTACTTATATATAAGTGTATATATATATATATATATATATATATGTATGCCATATAAGTAT